TCTGTTCATCAAGCCTTGAGTGACAAGTTGTAGAAGAAATAGTTCTCTGCCCAGTGGTGAAATTCCACACTGGGAGAGAGCTGCGCCATCTAGTGGGCTTCTTCCTCCTTGCAGCCTACATGTAGGACATATTCAGGTACCTCAAAGGAAGCCGCTGTCCAGCTGCTTGAGGTGTGTCTCCCTCCCCCAGGACTCAGCACACATAGGAAAAAATCGGGGAATTTGGAAAGTGATCATGAACTGGATGCAATTTAAGGTACTAGGGAAGGCAGCATGGGCTCTTGACCAAGAAAGATCTTGTTCCTGTCAGGCAGGATGCCACTGACAGGATGACCATGGTCTACAGCCAATCAAGCCCTCTCTCCTTTTCCAGTCCCACCTCTTTCCAGGCGGAGCAAAGCTGGACTTAGCTCTGCTTCCTAAAGGAGGGAGAGAGCTGGCAAGGGCTGGATGGAGCTGCAGGCTTTCCTCTGACGTCAAGGGCTGGAAATCCCATTTTATGCAGGTTCTCAATGTACAGCAAGGCAGGAAAGACAGGAGGAGTCAGCTGAGTGGCTTCATCATCACCTGAAGGGCTGTCCCCTGGGCAAAGGACACAGTGCTAGTCCCCAATCAAAAATTAATATCTCTCAAAGCTCCCTGAGGATCCAGGCAGTGATCTAGCACCCTCCACCTAGCTCTGGCCTTTTACCTCTCTCTGTTCTGACATCTCCTTTCCACTCCTCTGACCTGGAGAGGCAAGTGATCCCAAAAAAAGGGTGTCACCTAGGGCCAGGCAGGTCCTACCGATCATTCTTTTCCCAGGAGCCCTTTCATCCTTTTTTTTGTCAACATTTAGCTCTCCTTTCCACCCTTGCACCATGGGGTGTGGGGGCGGGCCCTATGCTCAGAGTTCTAGAAGCCTGAATGTTTCCATGACAACAGACCAATGAACCTGTAAATCTGAGCATAATGCTTTTGACATAACAAAACGCAGATGTATGTGGATAGCCTGGCAATACAGAATCTGGCAGTGACCTTAGCCACACATGTACATGTGTGTGTGAGTGTGGGGGGGGGGGGGAGATAGAGATAGGGAGGGGGGAGGGAGAGAGGGAGGGAGGAAAGGAAGGAGGGGAAAAAGAGAGGAATAAGAAATGAGAGAACCTGCCAGGCACCAGTGGTTCAAGCCTGTAATCCTAGCTACTCAGGAGGCTGAGATCTGAGGATCACAGTTCAAAGCCAGCCGGGCAGGAAAGTCCATGAGACTCTTTTTTTTTGTCGGTCATGGGGCTTGAACTCTGGAGCTGAGTGCTGTCTCTACCACTTGAGCTCAGCACCACTTCCGATTTTCTGGTAGTTTTTATTGGAGATAAGACTTTCACAGATTTTCCTGCCTGGGCTGGCTTTGAACTGGGATCCTCAGATCTCAGCCTCCTGAGTAGCTAGGATTACAGGCGTGAGCCACCATCACTCACTCCAGCTTGAGATTCTTATCTTCAATAAACCTCCAGAAAACCAGAAGTGTCACTGTGGTTCAAGTGGTAGAGTGCTCGCCTTGAGCTGAAGAGCTCAGGGACAGCGCCCAGGCCCACAACCACAAAAAAAACAAAAAAACAAACCTAATCTGTTTTCCATATGGTAGCTGTAAACATGGGATTGAAACTTTTTTTTTCCTGCCCTGGCTGGCTTTGAACCGTGATCCTCAGATCTCAGGCTCCTGAGTGGCTAGGATTACAGGCTTGAGCCATAGGCGCCCAACTGATTGAAATTTTTTTTTTTTTGGTCCGGTTGTGGGGCCTGAACTCTGGGCTTGGGCACTGTCCCTCAGCTCCAACTCAAGGCTAGTGCTCTACCACTTGAGCCACAGTGCCACTTCCGGCTTTTTTCTTTTTGCTTATGTGGTGCTGAGGAATGGAACCCAAGGCCTCAGGCATGCAAGGCAAGCGCTCTACCACTGAGCCACCTTCCCAGCCCCTGATTGAAACATTTTTTTTTTTTTTTTTGTTGGTCGTGGGGCTTGAACTCTGGGCCTGGGCGCTGTCCCTCAGCTCTTCAGCTCAAGACGAGAGCTCTACCCCTTGAGCTACAGAGCCACTTCCGGTTTTCTGGTGGTTTATTGGAGATAGGAGTCTCACGGTCTCTCCTGCCCGGGCTGGCTTTGAGAACTGAGATCCTCAGATCTCAGCCTCCTGAGTAGCTAGGATTACAGGCTTGAACCTCCAGCGCCTGGCGCTGATTGAAACATTTTTATCCCTGAGGATCTTCCTCTCCTTTCCTTAAAGAAAGGAGATACATTTCTTAGTGACAGTGATGAATTGGTAGCCTTCAGAGTGCTGGTTGACTAAAGGATTCCAAAGCAGACAAAGGAGGTTTCTCACATCCTGGCTACACTATGACTTCAAGAGGTTCTTTGAGTCGGGTATCGGTGGCTCATGCCTGTAATCCTAGCTACTCAGGAGGCTGAGGATCGAGGTTCAAAGCCAGCCTGGGCAGGAAAGTCCATGAGACTCCTATCGTCAATAAACCACCAGAAAACGGGAAGTGGAGATGTGGCTCAAGTGGTAGAGTGCTAGCCTTGAGCTGAAGAGCTGAGGGACAGCGCCCAGGACCAGAGATCAAGCCCCATGACTGACAAAAACAAAACAAAAAAAGAAGTTCTTGGCAGGCCGACATTCCATGTGATGTGATGCCAGAGAAAGAAGAAAGCCTTGCATAGGGACAGTTTATCAGACTTAGTATCTATTCCTTTTTTTTTTCTTGTCAGACCAGACTTGAACTTGGTACCTGGCACTTTGCCCATAGTCTGTCATTCTACCAACTGAGCCACAGCTCCAACCCCCAACCTTAGTATCTAAAGTGTGTATGTGAATAGTCATATAATAGTCACATACATACCTAACCCATATTCTGTTCCTCAAAGTGGTGATGCTTTACTCTTCTTCTCCCTTTCTACTCTTCCTTTGTTAATCTCTGGTTGCTTCCTCTGCCACATTTTTCCTTTTGTGGGTTCTAGTGCTCCATTCCAGGGACTTATCGCTGGCATTGGTTTTTTCCCATGCCTTGCAGCCTCCCTCCCCATCCTGTCCTTCAACCCAGAGCAGCAGTTCAAGGTTCATGGCTTCCTTTCTCGGTGCCTTACTGAGCTCCCCCTAGGCCTAGCCCCTAGACACCTGTCCCAGGAATCTATTGGGCTGGTTCTTCCACTGATCCTTAGTCTCCTCTTTACTCAACTTTTTTTTTTGTTGTTGCCAGTCCTGGGGCTTGAACTTGGCCAGGGTACTGTCCCTGAGCCTCTCTGTACTCAAGGCTAGTGCTCTACTACTTGAGCCACTGTACCACTTCCAGTTTTCTGAGTGGTTTATTGGAGATAGTTTCATGGACTTTCCTGCCCAGGCTGGCTTTGAACTGCAGTCCTCAGATCTCATCCTCCCGAGTAGCTAGAATTACAGGTGTGAGCCACTGGCACTTGGCTTAAATTTATTTTTGTTATTATAGGTGATATATAAAGGTGATATACAAGAGGGGTTACAGGTACATAAGTCAGCTAATGAGTACATTTCTTTCTGAACAATGTCATCCTCTATTCCAGTTTTTCCCTCCCATCCCCACCCACAAGTTGTATAGTTCTTTTTTTTTTTTGCCAGTTGTGAGGCTTGAACTCAGGGCCTGGGCACTGTCCCTGAGCTTTTCTTTTTTGTTGTTGTTGGTTGGTTGTGGGGCCTGAACTCTGGGCCTGGGCACTGTCCCTCAGCTCTTCAGCTTAAGGCTAGTGCTCTACCACTTAAGCCACAGCACCAATGTCCCTGAGCTTCTTGTGCTCAGGACTAGCACACTCTACCTTGAGCCACAGCACCACTTTCAGCTTTTTCTGTGTATATGGTACTGAGAAATTGAACCCAGGGCCTCATGCATGCTAGGCAAGCACTCTACCACTGAGCCACCTTCCCAGCCCAATCACTAGATCTTATATATGGCGCTTTCTGTGGGACAGGTTTTTCTTTTCTTTTCTTTTTTTTTATGGGACAGGTTTCTAAGCAGCAAGATAGTCTTTGGGGATTGAGTCCTCTCTTCATTTTATCTTGGTCTTACAAACCATTTTCCTAGGTGGAACCAACCTAAGGCACCTTTTCCGTGGTCACAGCTGCTTTGGCTCAGTCCAGTCTTTTCCTCTCCTCCCCTCAGCTAAGCCTGCTTCTTACTTGGTTTCTTTTCTATCTGTCAACTTGTGAGGCAAGAAAAACTCAGAGGCCACAACAAATGAGGTGCCAGAGTTTATTGGCTCATCCAGTGCCGAAGGTCCAACAGACACCAAGGAATTGGAAGTTCCTTGGTTCATGTATTTCTCTTTCTTCTTCACAGATTCCTCTTGGCCCTGCCTGAAGCTGTGACAGAAGTGGGAAAGGGTATGGCTCTGGCGGGGGTTTGGTTGGCACAGCAAGGGGACACTGAGGCAAGGAAGGAGGGACCCCTAAGGGGACAAGAAAGGAGACTGCTCCACAGGACCTCCTGGGAGTGGAGCAATCCAGCCCAGGGACAGGGCAGAAATGGATGAGGTGAAAGGATCAAGAACAGAGGGGGAGGTGAGAGGTCCCATTCTGCCATGGACTGGGGTCCTTAGAGGCTCAGAGACTAGCAGGGAAGGTCTAGAGGGGTAAGGCCAGAGCTGAGCGTGGGAAGAGGGGTGACCAATGGAGGGAGAGGCTTTTACCCAAACATCCCCCAGCCCTAAGCCCAGTAAGGTAAACATACTTCTTCATACACCTTGGGGCCCCATCTCTTTTGGTGGGAATAGGTAGCCCTCAGTCCTACCAGCTGCAGCTCTGGCAGGGCCATTCTGGTAATTGAATCCCCGTGTCCTCCAATCAAAGCTGAGCCTGGAGGCCGTAGCCAAGTAGCCCACGTTTGCCTTCCTCTCACCAGATGCCTTCAGACCTTCCTTGTTTTGTTAGAGCTGTGACTGTCCTCCCCCCCCCCCCCGACCCCCGTCCTCCATCCCATCCCAGGGAGAGTGGGGGCCTCAGAGAAGGGGATAGAGGTTGGTCTTCTTCAGCAAGGTCTTCAGCAAGGCACTGGGTAGGTAGGGCCAGAGAGAAGATGAGCCCCTCTTTGGGGGCTCAGTCATCAGCCCCTGGGCCAGCCTCTACCAACCTCACCCCCACAGCTGAGCCTGCTTGAGAGGGGTGGCCACTGGGGAAGGGTCCTGGAAACAGTTGCGTGTGTGTGTGTGTGTGTGTGTGTGTGTGTATGGGAAGGCCCAGGGCCTGAGACACCTGGGCTAGTGGCACAGTGTGGAGCAGGAGCTGGGGCTGCAGCCCTTCCGAGGATAGGAGGGCCTCAGGCTGAGTCCCCCCCGCCAGAGCTCTTCTTCTTAGGTCGGGCCTTCAGTGTCTTGGAAGCCAGTGGCTGTGGAGGGAGGAAGGGGGACAGGGCTCACCTAACTGCTTCCACCTCCTCCTCATTTCCCAAAACTCTGGCCCATACTTCTCACCTCAGCTTTGGGCACCTTTTTAATGGATTTGGTCCTCTTGGGGGCCTTATCTCCCATGTCATCTTCTGAGGTTTCTGTCCGGGGATCTGCCTGGTTTGGGCTAGACCTTAAACTCAAGGTAGAGTCATCTCCTGGGTGAAGGGAAGAAAAGAGAATAGGAGTCCAGGGATCTCTCCCACCTGGCCTTCAACCCTGTGCCTCCCCTACAGCCCTGAGTCCTATCTGTACCTAAGTCCTCAATGGTCTCCAGGAGGCCACCAGGGTTAGGTCGGAGGCGGCCGTCAGGGCCCTGCAGGGGCAATGCATCCTCGTCCCGGATGAGGGTCAGGTCCTGCATGCTGAAGCTCCGGAGTTTCTCTGACAGCACCCCCTGGCCCTAGGGTCACCACCACGCACCAAGAGAGTCAGGGGAAGGGGCGGGGTGGAGAGAGAGGTCACCATGGTGCTGGCAACAGCCCCTGGGTTCAGTGCTTTCTCCACACTGACCTCACCCAGGCCTGCACAATGCCAAGAGGCTGGGGCCATACTTTCTCTTGGACAGATGAGCAAACTGCCTGGATAGAGGCAGAGCTGGAGCCTGAGCTGCACACAAGCCTGAAGCTTCCACAGCTCCGATAACAGGTTGGATGCCAAGGGGCTGGACCAGGGGTGCGAGACGACCAAGGAGGAGGTTGTGGGCGTCTGGGTCTGTCCCCATCTCACCTTGGCAGCAGCTGTGACTGCAGCATTGGCAGCCAGATTCAAGCCCCTTTTGCCCACCCTCATCATGGTCTCATAGCTCTTGTCTCGGGCCTGAGTGATGTACTCGTCGATCTCCTGAGAGGATGGAGGGGAAGGAGGAAGAAGTGAGGGATAGAAGTTGCACTGAGGCCCGGTTCTACTTTTGTTCACACCTGCGCCAAGGCTCTGGGCACTGACAGCGAGCCAGGAGCACATGTGGTTCAGGTGTGGGGCTACCTCAGCCAGGGGAAGCCGGGAGGTGAGCTGGGCGGGGGCAAACCTTCTCCTTGTTGGACAGGGTTGGGTGCACGAACTTGCGGTAGAGCACACTGGAACCCTTGGTGTAAGGGGACAGCAGCCATATCACAAAAGCAATCTTGAGCTCAAAGTAGAAGGGGAACCTGTTGGGGGGCAAGCAAAGAGAACAGGGCAGGGAATCAGAGGGGTGCTGGACTCAATAGCACTGACCCCCTGCTTCACCATGGACAGCTCCCTAAATCTCAGGTTCATGGAGTCCCCAGTGAGACCTGGAGGCTCACATGAGACTCCCAAGTGGGAAGGTAAGTGGCCCTGGAAAGAATCTAATGGATCAGTAGCTCTCCTCATCCTTTCTCTTTAATTTCTAGCCGCCTCATTCCTGCTAAATACCCCCCCCCACCCCCATTCCTTTGAAGTCAAGACCAAGACAAGACTGCTCCTCACACTCTTGCTGTCTTCTCTCTATGAAGAAGACTGGAATGGGCTGTGGATCCCAATTCTTGCTGCCATAATATGCTCCTTGGCCTTTTTTTTTTTTTTTTTTTTTAAACTTTTGGGCTGGGAATGTGGCTTAGTGGTAGAGTGCTCGCCTAGAATGCATGAAGTCCTGGGTTCAATTCCTCAGTACCACATAAATAGAAAAAGCCAGATATGGTGCTGTGGCTCGAGTGGTAGAGTGCTAGCCTTGAGCAAAAGAGGCTCAGGGACAGTGCCTAGGCCCTGAGTTCAAGCCTCAAGAAATAAATAACTTTTTCTTCCCACTCCCACCTGTAATCCTAGCTACTCAGGAGGTTGAGATGACCTCAGTTCAAAGCTAACTTGAGCAGGAAAGTCCTTGGAACGCTTCCCCTCTCACTCCCACCCCCAGTCCTGAGGCGTGAACTCAGGGCCTGGGTGCTGTCCCTGAAACTCTTTGTGCTCAAAGCTAGTGCTCTACCACTTGAGCCATAGAACCACTCCAGCATTTTTTAGTAGCTTATTCGAGTCTCATGGGGACTTTTCTGCTTGGGCTGGCTTTGAAGTTTGATCCTCAGCTCTCAGCTCCTGAATAGTAGCTAGGATTACAGGCGTGAGCCACTGGTGCCCGACTGTCCTTGAAACTCTTATCTCCAATTAATCACCAAAAAGAAGTGGAACTGTGGCAACAAAGCTTAGGGACAGGGTCCAGGCTCTGAATTCAAGCTCCAGGACAGATATACACAAAATTTTTTTTTTTTGACATGGAGGCTTGTTATCCAGGAGGCTAGGCTTGGACTCCACAGATCAAAAGGTCCCCCTGGGGGCTGGGAAGGTGGCTCAGTGGTAGAGCGCTTGTCTTGCATGCATGAGGCCCTGGGTTTGATTCCTCAGCACCACATAAACAGAAAAAGCTGGAAGTGGCGCTGTGGCTCAAGTGGTAGAGTGCTAAGTGCTAGCCTTGAGCTGAAGAGCTGAGGGACAGTGCCCAGGCCCAGAGTTCAGGCCCCATGACCAGACCCCCAAAAAAAACCAAAAATAAAAAGATCCCCCTGCTCAGTCTCCTGAGTAGCTTGAACTGTAAGGTGTGATGTACATGTGCCCCTTATTTTTAAGGGGCAATCCCCATAGCTGCTGCTGCTGCCTAGGCCACAGACTCCTTTATGTCTCCTATGTCTTCACAAAGCCTTCATCATAGTCTAATGTCATGGAGACTTACTACCCTAGATCTCTTTTTTTTTACCCTCGATCTCTTTCTTCATCACATTATTATTCTCAAATACAAGGTCTCTATAAACAATGATCTTTTGTCTTATACTCATCAGTAAACTCTCTCCTTTTGATTTTCAGTGTATTGTGTTGTACATTTTCTCTTCCAAGAGGCATTTGGTCATTCAGTAAATGTTTCTGAGCTCCCGCAATGACTGTGTAAATGATTCAAACATATTCCCTATCCTTAATGAGAATGGTCCAGCAGTGCCTTGGAAATGCAAGCATTCATTGTCTATACGACTGAATCACATGTCTGTTTCACAAGTAAGAAAATTAAGATCTAGAGAATGGTGATCTGCATACAGATCAAAGAATAAAGAAAAAGCTGGGCATTGGTGGCTCTTGTCTATAATCCTAGCTACTAAGGAGGCTGAGATCTGAGAATCGCCGTTCAAAGCCAGCTCAGGCAGGAAAGTCTGTGGGACTCTTATCTCCAATTAATCACCAGAACACTGGAAGTGATGATGTGGCTCAAGTGGTAGAGCGCTTGCCTTGAGCTGAAGAGCTCAGGGATAGCACCCAGGCCCAGAGTTCAAGCCCCACAACTGACCAAAAAAAAAAAAAAAAAAAAGAAGCAGGCTCCCTGAATTTCATGGGGGTGCTCTGACTGCCACTAAAAAGAAATGTGAAGGTTATGTCTTCTCATTCTGCTGATCAAGTCAGGTATGGAGAGGAAAATCAAGTACCCACCCTAGTGCTCAACTTCCCATCTGTCTGGTTAGAGAAAGGAGAGACCTGGGGCCTTAGGTGCAGTAGGGCATGCTGGATCTCACCAGGACAGTATGATATCTGTAAGTGTCTCAGCTGTGGTGAAGAAGGCAAAGACGATCCAGTACATCATCCATTTCACCTGGGGAACAAAGGACGGCATTTACTAGGGCTGGGCCAATGGGCCACAACTCCCAAGATCCCCAGTCTGCTAGATCCTTATTTCACAGTGCTGGGGGGTAGGAAAACCCAAGACCCCATCTCTGTCTGTTGACCACCTTGGAGGTGCTGGGGGGAGGGAGAAGGAAATACCCTAGAATCTCCTTTGCTTACTGGTTTACAATGTAGCACAAAATCACCCCCATCTGTATTGTAACCACCATCCACTATCTGTGCCATTTGGTTGGGTAGGGGGTACAGGCCATTCACTCACATATTCCTTCACATTTTTGGTCTTCACGGCCTTGTAGGATGAGTAGGCTGGGTACAGGGTGCCAAAGATGAGCCTAGGAAGGCAAACATGGTTAACCCGGCCCCTCTCACTCCCAGCTCTGTACCAGTCACCGGATAGTGAGAGGAAAAGGGATAGAATTCCAGAGAGCCATATCAGCTGGATTGATGAACTGCGGTTAGGGGTTCAGGCCAAAGCAGTGAAGACTCAGGAAGGAGATATCCTTGTATGGAGGCTGTGGTCAGCGAGGGGGATGCCATTCTCCCTCTATTGTTCACTTTAGTCCTTCACACACACACACACACACACACACGCGTCAGAAGGTCCAATGTGGTTCCTTGAGCCATGATCCCTGGTTACAGAAAACCATGTCATGGGGAACAAGGGTCTGGTCCTTCTCGGCCTCATACCCATTTAACTCATGTATTCTTATTCTCCACTTCCTTGTCTCAGAGCCAGGCTGGGTAAGGCCAGCTCGGCAAGGGAACCTGACACCACCTAAGAGGGCACTCAACCTGGCAATCAAGAGCACTACTGTGGCCCTGGGGACTTGGGGACCAGAGGGCACAGGGGCAGGAGGCCCTGTGACGGGCAAATTTATTCTTCCATGTCAACACTCCCAGGACCAGGCTCAGAGGAGGGTCCTGGGCTCAAAGCCCTGGCTGGGGATTCCATTACAGACCACAGATAGGCCATGGGTGAGGAAAGGAGAGATGCCCCTGAAGAAGTGTGCCTATTCCAGACAGAAGCAGCTGACTTGAAGGCCACAGGGAGGTACTGAATGAGGCCCCTAGTTTCTCTATGTGGTAGGGAAGGAAAAAAGACTCCTATAGGACCAAAGGAAACCAGGACACAAGCCCTTACAGCACTGAGTGGAAGACGGCAGGGTGGAGCTGTTGGGATGGGAGTCCCAGGAGGTTTAAGGGGCAGAGTCCTAAGCTAGACTGGTGATTGGTACTAAAACTCACTAGGTACCCACCAGGCTCAGGCCCTTCCCAACAGTGCTGCGTGGTGGAGGCAGGACACCTTCAAACTGGCCTGTGCAGAGGGAATGAGTTGCGGGGCAGAACCCTCGAGGACACAGTCTAAGGTTGTGAGTGCACTCCTGGAGCCTGGGGAGGGGCCAGGGATACAGCTCCACACTTCGCGGCTCAGGATTGAGCACAGACACCGTTCCTAGTGGCCTCTCACACTTTGTCCTCCCGCCATCTCTGCTTCCCAAGGCCCGGATTGCCTACCTGGGGGTGGGGTGGGGGTGGGGGTCTCAGGGCGGGTGTCCTCAGCCTCGGTCTCCTGACAGTTGGTGGACACAGGAGGAGGGCTTGAGCCTCGGTGGAGGCCCGCGGAATGGGCCGCGGCTCTGAACTAGGGAATGACGACCAGGCCCTATCTGGCTCCTGACTCTTCGAATCCCTTTCCCCCAGGGAGAGGAGGGGCTGCTCGGCTGGGCGGCTTCACCCAGCATCCCCGATCGGCCATGTGGGGGAGGAGGCGCGCTCACCTGCCCACTCCCCGGCGAGGGGCGATGGCGGAGGGGAGGGGAGCGGGGCAGGAGAGAATAACCGGCGCTATTGGAAACACTGCGGGAACCTGGGCCTGACATGCTCCCCCGACACGGTCTGGGCTTGGAGGTGATCGCAGGATGCCGCCGCGGGGGCAGCCCGTCCTGAGCCGTGAGGCCCCCGCCCCCCGGCCCGACCCCCCGCCCCGCCCGCCCGCCCGCCTGCCTCCGCACTCACACCACCAGGCGAGAGATGATCCAGGAGACCATGGCGGGGGCGGCCGGGCCAAGGATGCAGCTGCCCAAGGCCGAAAAGGCGCCGGCAGCAGGAGCTGCAGTAGCCGCAGCAGCCGCCGCGGGGGCAGCGGAGCGCCGTGCGGCCGCCGTTAAAGGGGAGGTCTCCGCAGTAGCGGCGGGCTGTGGGCGGTGGCGGTTCTTAAAGGGGAGGTCGCCACAGCGGCGCCCCCCCCTCTCCCCCCAGCACCTGCTGTGCTGGAGCATGCGTCTTCATCCTCCACGTCGCGCCTTCATCCTCCTTGTCTGGCCTTAATCTAATTGCTTGTTCGCCTTCCTTGGGCTTGCAAGCACTGGGCAGAGGACCTTGGTTCCACTGTGACATCAGCCCTAAGCTTATCTCCTGCCCACCTCAGGTTGAAATCTTAAATATCCCATGAGGATATAACAGCTATAAGCCAAGAGCTTGTATTATTTCACTGAATACTAAAGACTTCACTACAAGGCAGAAATGATCATTTTGAAGATGAGGAAATAGGAATTTAAGGAGGGTCACAAAACCACTAAGTCATGATGCTAACATATGAACCTAGGAACATGCCATAACTAGCAGTCTCTTCTCCCAATTCACGCCCTGTAGACATCCACCTGAGCTCCTGAAGTCCCACACGGCACCTGTCCATCCCTTCTCTTCTCTACAGTCATTAACTCCCAGCTGAAAGAATTCCCAGGTGAATCTGATCTGCTTAAGGATGTAAGTTTTGCAGGGGAACAGGGTTGGGGCTGGGAGAGGGGTCCAAGACCCAGGTCAGTGTTAAATCCAAGGGCCCTAGTTCTACCCTCATTAGCAAGCACCAGTGGCAGTGAATGTCCTAATTCTGAAGACATTTATATCCAGAATGTAGGCTAGCTTGCCTCCTGACTCTGACCAAAGCGACCAAGTTCCAAAGCACCCCTTCCCCCACTGCTCTCCTTTTCCGTCCCATTTTGAAGCTTCTGTATGTCTCTATCCTTTATGTTGAGGTGTAAACCATCTAGTGACCACAGCATCAACTTGTCCTATCCAGGCTGAAAGGACATGCTTAGAGTGCTGTACTTTCAAAGAGTTATAGTCCTATTCAAACTCAGCATCCTTGAACCACACAATGGTCTATTTCTAGTCTGATAATGATATTTCCAGGCTAAAGTGTCTAACAGCAGGTTCCACAGAAAATGCCTTTGACAACCCCTCTTGCTATTCTTTACAACTTCCTCTCCAAAAGGCTTCATATAATTGAAATGCAGTCTGTTCTCAAGATACTTTAATTTTGCTTGATTTACAAAAATAATTGCAGTTGAGTCTTCTTCCACCATTTCCAAGTGCCACCTATTTCATAAATGGGCGGCAGCTAGGCCTCTTCCTTTAATTTTCATTTATGTTTGTGTTGGTACTGGGGCTTGACCTTAGGGCCTCAGTCTTGCTTAGCTTTTTCACACAAGGCTGGCATTCTACCATTCGAGCCACACTACCACTTCCAGCTTTTTACTGATTAACTGGAAAGTTTCAGGGACTTTTCTGTGTGGGTTGGCTTTGAACTGAAGTCTTTAGATCTCAGCCTCCTGAGTAGCTAGAATTAGAGGTGTGAGCCACCACACTCAGCAGCCAGCCTTCTTACATTTGGGAAGGAATTCTGATTGCTCAAAATCTTGCTCAGGCTTTACCACTAGTGGCCTTGCCCTTCCTAGACTCTGCCTTATTAGCAAGGCAGGATTCTACTCCTGTTCCACTCACAGAGCATAAACTGTGGGGATGCCCATCTTTCCACCCAGTAACTCACGTAGTTCTTTGTCTTAAACCCACAAACCACACCTGATACTTCACCCTGAAACTTTCTCCTAATTGCACAGTTTAGGAAACCAAGAGAAAGGGTAAGGAACACAAAAATAAAGACCTGGATATAAATCCCCCACCTCTAATTCAGACTTCAAACATGGCCTTGACTTTGGAAAGGTTGGAACAGGAAGAATTGAGTCCACTACAAATAGATTTGTTAGATTTTTAATAAGAACATGGAAATCCCAATCAGCCCTTCAACAAAATTAAAATACAGAAAGTGAAATTAAATTCTACAGTAAATGACTTTTATTTTTAAAAAAAGTAACTGTGAACATATAAACAAGCCTTCCTGTAGGGCACTACAGTACAGCTGGAAAGAGATACATTTTCCAATGTACCTATGGGCCAATGAGTTCCATCATTTTCAAATAAATTCTTAATAAAAACTTCACTGAGTTGGAAAGTTTTGTTGAAAATATTTCTGGACAAAACCCCAAAAAACAAAACAAAAAAACCCTCATGTTGGAAATCAAACTTTCCGTCTCATTTTGAAACATACAACGAGTCCCAAGGGAAAGCTGGTAATTGGTGAAAATGGTTCCTGGAGAGACCAGTGTGTGCATACAGGGAACACACCACAGCTCAGACATGACGAAGTTCTTTCTCAGATGACTGTTCCCTCAAGGTAAGACTGAGAGGGAAGAGTAGAAACTAAAAGAACCCTAAAAGCCAATTCTTCTAAATTCTGCTTTGGCTGATTTTGTGCTATAATGGGCAGCTGATTTCTAAAAATCTTATTTCTTCAAAGAATTTTATCGAAAGGAAGACTAAATGTAATGTGCCTTTCCTCATAATCCAGGAAAACAACTGTGGTATTTCAAAAATTCTAAAAATATCTACTTTCATGAAATAGTAACTATTTCACTACAAACCTATTTTTCACTAAATACACACATTTCCTCATCCTGGAGCCTCCTGGGAAAGCAGTGGGCTCTCCCCGGGTCCTGTAAGACTCCAGTGTTTATGGAGAGTGTGGGGGATGGCTGCACCCCAGTTCCTGGGATGGGCCATGTCAGAGGTCACGTGCAGAGACACTGTCAGGCTTCACCCATACTTGTACCAGTTATGTCTATCTTCAAACACATTCCCACTTAACTAGGCACAAGAGGAACAGGAAAGAGAAGTGCCACATTCCCAGTTTCCTTGATCTCAAATCAGGAGAATGTGCGGGAAAGCCCATCAATGTTCAAGGTAATCTGGATTGCCAAAGGCTGGGGGATAGGGAGGTGGCACCCTCAGTTTGAAGTCTGAAACTGTGTGTGTGTGAACAGTGCAACTTTCCTGTGTCAACCTTCAGTGTTGAGGCAGCATAGAAAGAGTGGCTGGAGAGTTTGTAATACTGACCACACTGTGGCTCCGGGTGAAGGGCCTCTGCTCCTGCAGAGAACCTTGGCGTTCCCTGTAAGTATTGTGAGTGAAAGTACTGCTTCAGTGGAGAGCTTGAATTCTCCATGCCTAAGACCTTGCCAGTTTGGATTCATGTGCCTTGAGGGTACCAACAGCATCTTTCACTGCATGGTAAATGATGTTCTTCACCTAGGGAGCAATCAGCACTGTTAGTTCGTGGCAACACCATGCTGTGTTCTACAAATATAAATGTATGTTCTGCCCTGACTCTCGACGAGGAAACCCTTCAAATGACTGTCATGTATAGTTTATATTTAAGGAAGACTGAAATCATTGAAAGGGTATATAATCACCATAATTTATATGCTTACTATGGGTTGGGCACTGCTATTAAGTTATTTATGTGGATTTTCATTTAATCTTTGCTATAATCCTACAAGGTAGAATTTACATGAGAACAAAGGAAATAAAGTTTCCATACTAAGAACCTTGCCAGGAACCAGTGGTTCACAACTGTAATCCTACCTACTCAGAAGGCTGAGATCTGAGGACTGTGATTCAAAGCCAGTCAGGCAAAAAAGTCCATGACACTTTGATCTCCAATTAACCAGCAAAAAACCAGAAGTGGAGGTATGGCTCAAGTGGTAGAGTGCCAACCTTGAGTAAAAAAAGCACAAGGAGAAGTGGCGCTGTGGCTCAAGCAGTAGAGCGCCTGCCTTGAGCTGAAGAGCTGAGGGACAGTGCTCAGGCGGAGTTCAGGCCTCACGACCGACAAAAAAAAAAATCATTAAAGTGAACAGGCTAAAGATAATTTTCGTGATTTTTTTAGCAGTATTAGGGTTTGAACTTGGGACTCTGTGTTTGCTAAGCAGATATACTATCATGTGAGCTACACTTCTAGCCTTGAAGATAATTAAAAAAAAAAAAAAAAGCCGGGCGCTGGTGGCTCACGCCTGTAATCCTAGCTACTCAGGAGGCTGAGATCTGAGGATCGCGGTTCAAAGCCAGCCCGGGCAGGAAAGACCCTGAGACTCCTATCTCCAATAAACCACCAGAAAACCGGAAGTGGCGCTGTAGCTCAAGTGGTAGAGCACTCACCTTGAGCTGAAGAGCTGAGGGACAGCGCCCAGGCCCAGAGTTCAAGCCCCACGACCGACAAAAAAAAAAAAAAAAAATATTTCTTGCTCAGTGCTGGTAGCTCATGGCTGTCAGCTAGCTATTTGGGAGACTGAGCTCTGAGGACTGCAGTTCAAAGCTAGTCTGGGCAGGAAAGTCCATGAGATTCTTATCTTCAATTAACCAGCAAAAAGTCGAAGTGGATCTATGGCTCAAGTGACAGAGTCCGGCTTGAATGGAAAAAGGTAAAGGATAGCACCCAGGCTCTGAGTTCAAGCCCCAGCACTGGCATTTTTACGGTAGGCACAAAAGGCCTATACACAAGATCTTTTTTTGTTTTTGTTTTTTTTTGGGTCCGGTCATGGAGCCTGAACTCTGGGCTTAGGTGCTGTCCCTCAGCTCTTCACCTCAAGGCTAGTGTTCTACCTATTGAGCCACAGCGCCACTTTGGCTTTTTTCTTTTTTTGCTTATGTGGTGCTGAGGAATCGAACCCAGGGCCTCAGGCATGCAAGGCAAGTACTCTACCACTGAGCCACCTTCCCAGCCCTATACACAAGATCTTTTATGCTAGTCTCTATTAATTCTTTTCTATTACTTTAACAAATATTTACCTGCTACATGTTAGACATGTTAATTTCCTGCCAAGGGTACCTGTCAAGCATAAGGCCTTAAGTTCAAACCACAGTATCACCAAAAACCAAAATGAAACAAA